TTCTATGCTAACAGTTTCTTCTCTTGCATTTCTCCCAGTTTTTTTGCTTCTCAGTCAAATTGGCTCTTCAAAAATGTAAAAGCAATGTCAATCTTTATCTTCTGCCATCTTAATTCTTGTTCTTTTATTGTCCTATCTTCTTAATAATAGTTTTTCTCATATTCTCTGACACTCTGTAACCCCTTACATCTTGATGGCTTTATTGCCTTGCTTGGGGTGAAATGATTAAAAAAAATGAAACAAAACTGTTAACAAAACTATACTCTGAATTTAAAGAGAAAAAATTATTACATTGATTGTATCACATAAAATCTGAATTTCTGATCAAGTCATTATATGTCCCTTAACAAAGTTTTTGAATAGTTTTGTTCAGATACTCAATTCTTTATATAGTTATTTTATAATGATATAGCATATCATATCTGGAAGGAGGTGGGTATACATTCCCCTTCCAAGAATGAGATTCAGTTGATTGACAGAGTGCATTGTTGAGGATTGTGGAAGCTGAGAATGGCAATGTACATTGACTTCTCAACTATGTGCATTAGTTGAACACATATGGGTTATTTTCTTTAGCAAAGTTGGTGTTTAAGGACTCCCTCAATTAGTGCAATTTGGAGTCAACTGGATACTTTATGTACCTAATGCTGAAATTAACTAACCTGGTAGGTGTATTAATTGATTTCAATTGTTCAATTAATGAACAATTTCCATTGAAGGTCTATTTTGTTACCTTGTTGTGTTTTCATGGATTACACTTGATATTGGCTGATGAATGGATCAGCCATAACAATGAGCAATTATAGAGAAATTCGAGTATCTAAACAATGTTAAAAAATATAGAGAAACATTATATCATATTAATGGGAAAAGAAAACTGTGCAAGCATAATTAAACTATAAATTTATAAAAGCATCATTTTACATTTTTAAAACAAGAAGATAAAGGAGAACTCTGAAAAACAATAATCACATCTACAAGCAATGGCAAGCCTGCATGAATATACTTTCATTCTAATAAATTTTGGCAAGTTATATTTTAAAATGTTTCATAATTAAATAAATATATTTATGAAACTAATTTCATTAATTGCTACAGAGTTGGAAATATCACATGTTTTGTTGATGATAAATTCAATATCAAATTATAACTTAAAAATCAACATTGTTATCATTTATTACCAGCAAGAATGATAAGATTAGTTTCACATTTGAATAGGACTCTTCCCCTTAGAAGTCTCTGAGACATTCTACCCAAGAAACATGGGACCCCAATACTCTCTAGAGCAGTAGTGCTTAGATTCATGAAATACTGAAAAAGAAATAATAACACTGACATCTAAGACAATCATTGTTCTATGGCAAGTGTACAAATCTGTGCTGGCTTAGATGACTGTAGATATCAGTCCAAATTGTTTTGAGGCTATTGAACTCCTTTTTTGCATTCTTGATACTGTTCCATTTTCTGTGCTCATACAGAAAATCTTAAATTGGAATTTGTCAAACTGAATTAAAAAGATTACTTCTTTTGATAGACAAGACAAATTTGAAAGGGTGCTGAGAATTTCTCAAAATCAGTATTCTAAGGTCTGGTCATTAAAACACTGATTTTGGAATAAAATGTTTAAGAGTGAGAACTTTTCAACAGCCTCTTATACCAAAATATGCCGATAGCACTTATTATTATCACCACCATTTCTTCAATTTTAAATATATCATCATGAATATAAACTTGCAGTTCAATTCTACTCTAAAATCATCTGGAATATTTTTGCTTGACTTCCACTTTAGAACTGAGTTTCAATTGGATGATTTGCATATAACTCTGTCCATAGTTTCTGCTATCATTTCTGTGAAAGCATGTATACTTTATGGTAGACCCACAATAGTCCTTAAGAAATGTGCTCTTAAAGTGGTTAATGTTGTCCTGAACTTTACAAATCATACCTTGCTGCTTTTGTTTTCCTGCTTGTTGGAAAGCCTTTTCTGTAGTTCCAGTCTTTAAGAACTTTAACTATTGGCCTATCCTTTTTGGCAAAGTACTAGAGGTTCTAATCAACACTTAATTTTTTAACACCACATCTTGCAGATAAACAATATGACTTTCACTCCTCTAGATAAACTGCTGATGTATTAATGGTTAATTCTAAAAGAGTCTATCAAGCTTTATATAAGAATGGAAAAGCTTGAGCTTTTGGTTTGGGTATCTTGAAGGCATTTGACAGGGTTTGGCATTTTGGTCTTCTTCACAAGTTGAAAGGTCATGATATTTCTGATTAAATCTTTCTTATCAAATCGCAAAATTAAAGTTTTCTTGAATTGCCATGCTTCTAGATCTTTTTCATTAATGCAGGTGTTCCCTATGATTCTATCCTTGGACCTGTGTTTTCCTAATTTTTATAAACAACCTTCCTGGTGTCATCAGTTCTCAACTCAGTATCTATACAACTCTTGTCTTAATAGTAAGTCTGTTCAGTTCAATAAAGTCAAATTGGCTGCTGATCTCAAAAATGATCTTCAATCTGTTGTTAATTGGGGTAAGAAATGGCATGTTAATTTTAATGCCTCCAAAATTAAAATGCTCTCTATTAATCATATGAGAGAATCTATTTTGCCTTCCATCAGTACAGCTAATGCTAATATCCAGGCAACTGACTGCTTGTGCCTTCTTGGGCTAACATTTTCTATTAATAATAAATGGAAACATTATATTGAATCAATGACTAGTTCTGCTACTAAGAAAGTTTGTTCATTCAGTTGTGCTAGACAATTTTTCCTACCAAAATTTATCTTACACATTTATAAGTCTGTGATTCATCCATGCATTAAATATTGCTGCCACATCTGGTCTGGTGCTCCTGTTATATATTTAGATATTCTTGATAAAATCCAACGAAGAATCTGCAATGTATTTGTCCTGACCTGACATCTCGGCTACAGTCCCTTTCCCTACCACTATAATGTAGCTTCCCTGTGCCTTTTCTATAAATACTTTCATAGTAATTGTTCTGATGATCTTTCCTCTTTGGTACCTAGATTTTATGAATTTGAGTGCAGTACTAGATTGGCAGCAAGGTCTCATCATTTTACAGTTAAAATGGCTAGATGTAACCATAGTTCTATGTTAACAGTTTTTTTACTCCCACTTCTCACTTGTCAAACTCTTGTTTGGCTTCTTGCTTTTTTTTCAACTTTGATATTCAAAAATTTAAATGCAATTTCAATTGTTATTTTCTGTCTTTTTAATTCATGTTCTTTTTCCTTAATAATATTTATTTTCCTTATATTCCACATTCAGCAACCCCTTGTGTCTTAGTGGCTTTATTCTCTTTCTTGGGGATGAAATGATTTAAAAAAAAAAATAATAATGAGTGTGCCATCTATATATTTGCCATCACTGTAGATGAAAACTAAGCCTTAGCCAAGTCTTTTTCTTGTTGCTGTATATCTAATATCAGCTATATAAGATTATTGATTAGAACATGTATATGTTCCCCAAGAAAAGGGGTCTGATTATGGTTTATTTCAAATCACAGATAGAGCCTTATGTATAGTAACATTGGTGACAAGTTCACCATCCAGTTGGAATGAATGAGAGAACTTTTGTCTCTTCAAAGTGAGTAAAGTTCTTTACTTGATTGTGAGTTGACTATATCTACAAGGAATGGATGACATGCTAAGCCCTGATGATTGTCAGTAAGACTTAGTGAAATATTGTTTTTGCAAGAAAAAGTTGAGATCTTGACAAAGGTTTTCATTTTAACATTGAAAAATTAATGTTTTGCTCATAATTCTGTCTCTTCCACTCTTCAAATAACTGGATGAAAATTTTCATTAATCAAAGCTTGGAATGTAATATACATACATATATATATATATATATATGCATGTTGTTTAAAGATCAAGAAAACTACTTTGTTTAAGATTTTCTTATTTTTCTTTGGTTTGGACCTACAACCACATCATGACTCAAAAGACTAAAGCTCTAATAACATAGAACTAATAAACTTTCTTTAAAAGCAAATGCCAAACTTTAGTACTGAAGAGAATATACACAAAATTAAAATAATAAAAGGTCAGGATTATAAAAATAAAAAAAAAACATTAGCTCTAAACAAAAAACTTACTTGGTCCTTATAGGGATTGGTTTTACTGTTTCTTACAAACCTTTTAATATTATGGGACTTCTATCAGATTCTGATCCTTATTTGATCTCAATTCATATATATATATATATATATATAGTCTGTTTTTGTTATCCATGGTAAAGATAACTGACAGTGTACTATATATAGTATGTATGCTGGGATATTTTCACTGGGATATAAATACCTCATTTTAGAAAGTTTAAGTTTTTTTTAGAAGGAAAATAATTTTTTGTATAAAACATTAAACAAATCTTCATTATCTATATCATAGAATTGGACTGTTGTAAACTCAGTGTAATATTTACTTTAATTAGCAATATTTTAAACTGATTTATTCATAGAGGAGATGAAAATCTCACTGAAATATATACTTTTAACTTGAACAGAAAGCCAACTCCAAAAAATTTAAATTAGACAAAACCAGTTCAGTAGTCAAGGAACGAAACTTATTTTTTTAATTAATCTGAGATTTATTTTTACTCAGGATCTGATGAATCTGACTTTGGATATTCAAATTGATTTTTTTTTTCTAATAGACTATTTTCTACTCATATCAGTTGAAGAACACATTATTTATTCCATTTTTTATACTGAGAACTGAAATGTTTTTAACTGGTCTTTTAGAAATACAAAAATGACCTAAAATGGCTTTAATATTGTGAACAAATTATATTGATTATATGGAAGTTTTACATTACAAATGAGTGTTCATCTATATCATTTCTACAAGATATTCCATGTTTTTTATTGCCTTATTTGACTAGAACACTTCATTCAGTTTTCTTCCCAAATTATTAAACTATCTGATAAATAAAACTGCTGTCTAAATATGTCATTTCTTTTTCTTTTTCAGATAGATCAAGGTGATCTTGGCATGCCGACCACTGATCATTATATATTGAAGCAAAATGCCAATAAACTTAATTTCTATAAAGAATTTGCCATGAAAGTAGCCATCACTCTGGGTGCAAACAAGACTGTTGCTGAACAAGATATGTCTGATGTCATCAACTTGGAGGTTCAAATAGCCAATGTAAGTTTTTAACATGAAAAAATAACAATTTTATAATATAAGTACAAAATATGTTTATTCATCAACAAATATTCAGAAAAAAAACAAGAAAATATTTTTATGAGACTTACTTTTGCATTGTTTCATTCCTTATTTCCATTTTCACCATGAATATTTTACTTTAGGTATAATCTCTCTGTATGTACCATTTCCATTCAGAAGGTGAATGATCATGACTCTCTACAGATTCTTCCTTTAGTTATAGTACTTACCATTAATATGTTTCAAGGAAAAATAGAGAATAAATGTACATCATTGTTGATTGACTTTTAAGTAAATATAACACTTGAAAAATAAAAATAACCTTCTCAACCTGTTTTGCCATTTTTTTCACAATGTTTTCAAATCAGTAACTTTAAATTACTGATTCATTTCTTTTGTGAATCTGTTCTAAGTTACCATCATTTACATTTTTCAATTATAGAAAATGTACATAAACATAAAATGATTAATATTAAAACTAATTTCAATATTTTCCTTTTACTATTCTATCTCCCAATGTCTTTTGTTAAGATGACTCTATTTGTTAAGATAGAAAATAGGTTTCAAATTGTAGAATAATGAAGTATATTAAACTATTCATCTTACAAAGTTTTTAACTTCTGTCAACAACATATGTTTTCTTCTGTACATTTTGCATCATTATTATATAAAATTTTATGAAACACGAAAGACAAGGAAATTAGTCTGGAAAAACAAATTTTACAATTTCCTTGTAATTATTTTATATTATAAAAGATTCAGAAAATCTGTGGTCCATACAATATCAGGACAATATTCAGAAGTAGTTTCACTCTATGGAGAAATCTCCACTGAGTAAAACCCAACATGAGACAGAACATGGCCAAGAATTGTGTGTACTCAATTACTTGCAGTTGTGACAGAGAATATAAAAATGAAAAAAGCCACCTCCTAAAAGTAAGGCTAGAGGAACATCAAAAACCTATAGTGAGAAGTGAGACAACGAAACCAGGCATGGCTAATCATGTATGAAGGGAAGGGGGTAGTTATCAGCCCCTGTAGATTGAAGTGAAAATACTGGACAAGGAAGAACATTGGAGAGTTAGACATCAACAAATGATGTTTGAAATCCACATGACGTCTTAACCAATCATCACTTTTTTCAGAGCCTTTAGTCTTGCTAAGCCAACTATTCTAACATCAAATTTGTTAAAAAAAAATGATACTCTTACTGACTTTGTCTTTCCAACCTTTCATTCTTGGGGACTATGATTAACAAGAAATCCTCTGAGAATAACTATACCGTCCTGAGTATGACAATGAAGTACATCCAGCGGCAAAGCCTCTGATTGGGAGACTGGGGGTTTTGAGGATCATAGAACCACCTCTTAACTGCTGTTGTTTGTAGGTGCACCATGATCCGTGATGGTAGCACTTTTTATTGTCCCAGCTTTGGGTAAATATGGTAGGCTATGAGGACCTCCTTAGTAAGCCTAGCATATACAATATAGAAGCCACTAATAAAGAAAGACAGACAATTGACAGCAAGTCTTGAGCACCAGCACTTATCAGCAAGCAGGTTAGGTTTAAAGCTCCAAGTTCACTCCAGTGAAGTCCTATGGAACAATAACCTAGTGGATTAATGCATTGCTTCTTGAATTTGGTGAAATCATGATTGTGAGTTAATTTGGGCTGTATGTACTTGGACTCAATGGAAACAGACAAGTACTATTGAAAAAATAAGAACTTTACAATATCCTTAGACATGGGAAATCTACCCCTATAGATTAAATAAAAGGTTCAATTCAGAATTCCCTGGAGGTTACCCATAATCAACATACACATGAAGGTCAGAGGCACAACAGCCAAAATGTTGTGATGGCAACAACAAAGATGAGTGTAAATAATAACTCCTCATCCCAGAAATTAAATATAACTTTCAATCATCAGGGTGGAACATCACTTAAGCTAGTGTTAATATTCCTTGGCTTTTGATATTATATCATTTAATAAAAATATAGCAAAACCTAAAATGACCACATTTTTTAGAAAAATTTTCCATTGAAATGTCTATTAATTGAACAATTTTTTTCAGAACTGTAAGAAAAAATGTCTTATTTATATAGAATCAAAAGATAGTAACCAAAAATTTCATATAAAAAATATTTTTGCAGAAGTTAATTGAGAATTAGATTATTTCCTTTTTTCCTTTGAGAAAAGTAATCAGTTTTTTAAAAAATACTTATTTAAATTTCAAGAAGTTTTGAATTTTTTTGAGAGGTGTTCTGTTTTAAGCTAGTTTAAGATCAGCAGATTCAGAGTTGTTGCTTGTTAAATTCATTAAGATTAGAAACTGAAAGTTTTGTTTGACATAGTACATAATGTTTTTAAGTAATCATATTCTTGTTTTGCTTTTATAGTTTTGAAATTATGGAACAGCTCAGGAAGGTTTTGTATTCTTCAAAGAATATATTCTACTTGATTCAGTTGAAGATTTTTTTTTATATTACATATAAATTATTATATAATTTGAATTTTCTAAAGGCTTCTATATATTTATGACAATCAAAGCATCTGAATATTATGGTATAAGACTGACTTTTTGAAATAAGGTCCTATGCTCTAGTTTGAAATAATTTGTCTCTTTCAATTGTGATATTAGGAATCATTAATTTCATACCTGCCTATCACTATTTCTATTTCCAAATCCTGGTGATAAGTATTAAAATCTGTTTCATGTCAAGGCCAGGTCAATCAGTTTCATGGAGTTTTTTCAAGTTATGTTGTCAAGAGTGATTGTCTATGGATCAGTAATCAATTGCAGTAAATCAGATTAAACTGTTCCCAATATTTAACTTTTTTTTATCTAAGTATATTTGTTTTTAGCATGTATTATGTTCTCTTAATTTATTGCTCCAAAAATGTTTTTGTAGGTGTTAAAATATGATATCTAATTAGAGGAAAGTTTGTCTCACCTACAAGAACTAGTGAATTGAAAAATATTTCTAACTGGATTAAATTGTAGGAATTTGGTTCACTTTAAAGGATATGGAATTGTTTTTACTGAAAAATTATTATTAAATGAAGTTTGGTCTGGCAGTCAGGACATGTCTCTTCTCAGGTGGCTTGTAACAATTTTTCTCTCTAAATCTTAGCACATACTCTAAGGTCTCATAAAATGAATGTGTGGTACAAACTCCATATGAGAGAGACCAAACTTTATTTTTATAAATACTATTTAGCAAAGCATTTCTGATTTTTGGTGGAAAAATAGATATCTGCACTAAATATAGAATGGATTGATCAGGGTAAGAGCCTTTGTCAGCAGTGGTGGCAGGCAAGAGGTTAGAGTGTATGGCAGTTTTCCAGAGGTTGGAGTGTCCTGGACAAGTGATTCATCAACACAATCGATTTGTCTAAATGCAGTTCAGAATAAGAATGGTGAAGTTGAATAAATATCACAGATTCCCATTTGACCTAACATGTTCCTCAAGGGAGTTAAACTGTTAGGTTTAATGAAAGTACTTTTGAGCCCTTCACGAAAGGTAGACCTAGTGATTTATGACAGTTCACAAGTGAATATTTGACAGTGGCAGAAAACCCCAGCTTATGTTAAATTATAACAAGGCAATAAGCTATTGAAACTCCTCACAGTTTTTAAGAATTTACACTAAAAGGTATTTCTCTCTTTCTCTCTCACATATATATATATATATATATATATATATATATATATAGACACACACAAGATGTACCAAAATTACTTCTACAAACTTTGGGGGTGAGTTTCTGACAAACAAGGTAAAATGTCTATATAAACACATGTCCAAAAGGCCATCATTGTACCTCAACGCAGCAACTCATAACAAATGCTCAAAATATCCTTTGCTTGCTTCTACACATGCATGTACCCCTTAGATCATCGACTGGTGGACTCTTTCAAATACTACCACATGGTGTTGAAGGGTTTCACATGCTCCCATTACTGGTCTCTACATTATTAATGTCTGCTGCAGAAACAAGTTGTTTTAGGTGGCCTCAAAGATAAAAAGGATTGAGGTCAGGGGAACATGCAGGCTATGGAACTGGTCCTCCCCTACCTATCCATCTTTCATGGTAGATGTCAGCATTGTGAACAATATGATAAAATGTGTTGGAATCCCATCATGTATGAACCACATGCATCTTCATATTAGCAGGGTTACATCCTCTAGCAAGTCTGGAAGTGTGTTCAAAATGAAGTCCATCTAGACTTGTCCTGTAATATGTTCTGGGAGAACATATGGACCTACCAGGAAGTCACCTACAGTTCCAGCTCACACATTAATCATAAACTGGTGCTGGTATCTAGCCTATATTGTACCATATTGTAAAAAAAACTTATCTATAAGCACAAAAGAGACCTCATATATAACAACAGTTATAAAAGAAAATAATTTACTCAGAAGGAAAATCCTCAAGAGTGCCACCATTGAATATTATCCAAATATTAAACTATGCCCTGATACCCCATTTTTTCTCAATATCACCTTTCCTAACAAAATCACTACTCTCACAAGCCAACATATACAACAAATATATTAAGAAATCAAAAGAAAATGGTTGAATTGGTCAACACAATAATACAAACAATATTTTTACATGTAAAAATATACTCTTCAAACAAAGTATTTGATGTAATTTTTCAGTTGACCACATGAATATAAAATAGCATTTCTGAATTCTTCTAATTGCTAATGACATTTTGTTTGTTGTTTATAGATAGTTTGTTTCAATGGATTAATTCTGCTTTTTGCTTTAAAAAGTTCACATTGGATGAAACACGTCAGCTAAAACTACATAGTTTTCCTAATGTCTTTTTTCTTTTATACATATGGTCTTTTTCTACAAGTTAATTCTGAGTAATTCTTCCATATATATATATATATATATATATATATATATAAAAGTGAACATTGAAGTCAACAGATTGTTTCATGCTAGATGCAATCATCAGGCCA